CATTGTCTTCTAACTTGCGGCTTAGTTGACTCCTTGCTGGGAAGGGCTAGCGGCCTCCTACTGCTGTGCGTAACACACATTGTCTTCTAACATGCGGCTACACGTCGGTTGCATTGTATTAATAAAGTAATACCTATTCATAAGGAAGGGGGCGGATGGTAATCTGACGAGTATTAAATCAGTTATCGATTAAACGCGTACCAGTAGTCTTGTTTTTTATTGGCTATACGGTATGTGTCCTAAATGATTTAAATAAATAAATAAATAAATAAATAAATAAACATATGATTCACACCCCTCATGGGCCACACAGAAAGGAAAATGCAGGATACTTACTCAGTAGAGTAGAGACTTCGCACGCAGGATGTAACCTAGACATAATTGATCAAAACTGCAACGCGATTTCGCCGAAAAAAAAATTATATATATATATTAAGACTCAATCACGTCGTGTTAAAGCAATTATTTAATGCACGCAAAATGTGAAAACCGTTGACTCTTACCTCACTAATCCTGAGAAGTGAATCGTGAGGTGCATTTGTTGTAGCACTTCACTTTCACTTGCTTGGATTGCGTTCGGTTACTTGACTCCATTTTTTCTTCATCACTCAGCAAGAGGATCTGAAAGCACTATCGCAGTGCATGGCCACGATATGGTATGAGCACTTTTATGTGTCCTTGTAAGGCTATACGCCATTTATCTATCCAAGCTTGAGAAACAAACTTAATAGTAAACTGACTCTTTTATCTAAATTAAAACCATATCTAAAATTGTAAATCAATAAAACTTTTATACATCAATGCCACGTGAAAGTAGTGATTACACTAAACATGTTTTACCTTCTTTAAATAAAGTTAATTTTCATATTTATTATTATTATTATTATTTTTATATTAATAATAATATATTAATATTTTTATTGTAACGAACCCAAAGACTGTATTTAAGTGTTAAAACGTAAATCTATTGACTCGTTTTTCCTTGATTAACGGTTCTTGATATGTGTCATCTACATTTTAACTGCATCAGGAAAAGGAGTATTACGTATACAGTATATTCTAAGAAAAAAATAAAATAGAAAAAAAAAAAAAAAAAAAACATGTGCGTAATTTCATCCAAGTCACGACAAGGGGATATGTATTGAAATGGAAAAACAATTAAGTACATGTGTCGTGTGATCAAAACAGGTACTTGACGCTAATCAAGTAACTGACAGACAACGCTAAAATATCATTCATTGGATTATTTAGCAGCGTTAGGACGGAACCTATTTTAGAATGGACAAGGAATATCGCTACGCTAACAGACACCGGGTAGGACATGTTATGTC